GGAGATGTAAAACTATGGTGGCGAATAAAGTATGCTGATATTCAGGCTAACAGGGTCTGAATAGATTCTTGAGATCTCCTCAAGGAAGCGATCAGATCTTAGTTTTTTCAGAGAATATAAAATATCAGGCACGACGTGCACTACGAGAACTGAAACATACAAGCTCCATCAGGGAGTATGTGAAAGCCTTTTCAGGGCATATGCTCAATATTCATGACATGTCGAAAAATGATAAGCTATTCACCTTCATGGAAGGATTGAAACCGTGGACACGTACGAAACTTCAGAGACAGAAGGTTATTGATTTGAGCGTGGCCATGGGAGCCGCCGAATGTTTAAGTGACTATCAACCCGAGTTGAGAAAAGATCAACCTTTAGGGAATAGTCAGGCTATTGGAGGTGGAAACAAACCTTATAGACCCAGCTCGAACTCAAATGGGGAAGATCGTTACTCTAATAATAAGGTAGAAGCCTATCAAGGCACCCGTCAGAGTAACTTTCAAGGGAATTATTAAAATAGTCGTCAAGGAAACTATAACGGTAGCAGCAGTAACAATTGGAACAAAGGAAAAGCAACAAAGGGCAAATCTGATGCCACTCCTAAATTAACGAGTTTTTTATGTGAAGGACCTCATCGAGTGGCAGAATGCCCCCAGAAACGGATGGTGAATGCATATTGTTAACTAGTGGGTGGCGGAATGAGTTCAAAATAAGATGTCCCACAAGCTAGATGTCACGGTGAGGATGAGGATGTAGTTGGCGCATTCTCATATCGGTGCAATACACTATCACATCGAGCTACTAAAAAGGATGATATTCCATAGAAAAATGTAAAGATCGAAGAATCGAAGACTCGTATTTGTAGAGCCAAATGCCTAATGTACATTGATCTGAAGATCAATGGAAGGCCAATCAAGGCTATGGTAGATACTGGTGCTACCTACAACTACCTTGCAAGTACCGAAGTGGAGCAATTCAGACTTGTTCTGGGGAAAGGTAGTGGAAAAGTCAAAGCAATCAACTCCGCTGCTCAACCTATAATTGGAGTAGCGAAATCTGTGTTGCTCAAAGTGGGTCCTTTCGAGGGAAGGACAAACTTGTCTGCAGTTCAGATGGATGACTTCAAGCTCATTTTGGGATTGGAGTTTCTTCGGGATACTAAGATAGCAGTGCTGCCATATTTCGATTCATTAATGATGATGAGTACTGGAAGGAAGTGAAGAAAACGTGAATCCGGGAGATGCTTCACGACGTAAGACACAAATGTTCGAGTACTGGCGGGTGAAACAAAGATAATTGCACTAACAACAATCACCAATCAAATGCCTATGATTATATTCTAAAGATCAAGTGAAGAAATATGGACAAGTAAGATGATATATGAAGAATTTTTCCTCTTGAATGTATGTTAGAAAAGATGCTTACAAGGCTACTTTGTATTTTGTTTTTTAGATTTCCCAAATATCATTTCTCATTTACAAGGACTTCATTTTTATAGTGCTTTGATTGACGTGGTGTTCGTTGGATCAGAATTACGTGACCTCATCTCCTTGACTAAAGCTTTACATCACTGTCTTGTCATATAATAAATACATTGACAACATATGAGCTGCCTTATACATTAGGTTGACACACCTAACATTCTTTATTACAAACGCTACATCAATCATTCCTAAAGATTGTCCATTAATCTTTTAAGAGACGGCTTCAGTTTCAGGAGTTTCAGATGAACTAAGGCTTCGGTTGGAGGAAACTTTGTATCGGTCTTCTGTGTGAAGAGCTTCGTCGTTTTCTCTAACCTCCTTAGCTAGCACTTCGGTTTAACAGAAAACGCTTCGCATTTACGTGCTTCGGCCATTTAGGCAGTGCTTCGCTACAATAGCTCCAGCTGTTCGTCTGATCTCTTAAAATTTCACCAATTGATTCTTTGCTGACTTTTCTTTTCACGTGGATTGCTACGTGGCGTTTTGACTTGAGCCTCGGTGGCAAGGCGTAACAACCTTCAAACTGTATGCACCTTAAATGTTTTCATAGCTTGCACAACTGACAAATGAAAATGCTAAGACGAGCACATCTGTTCCAATGTAGCGTAAAGGCCTTAAATCTATTGTAATCTTCTTGACTTGTAAATATGATCAGCAGAAGAAAACAACAAAAATAGTTCTTATTACAAAAGATTTTGGGCCGGCATCATTGCTATGAGACTTCCATACTGTAGTGGAAACAATTTCAATAGTAAGCATAAGCATACCAGCTATGTCCCAAAGGACTAACTCCTAAGTCAACTGTAATTCCTTCAACTACATTTGCACTGAAGTTATCAAACACGGTTGGGATGTAATCCTAATTTTCCAAAAAAAGTTTAAGAACCCTAAAGTGAATGTAATTGATACACAATAGACAAAGATTCTATTTTAGGTTGGATATAATTGGTGATTCTTAGTAGTTGGATGATCCAATTGAAGTTTACCAAAATGTTGAAGGACTAAATCGCCTTTTACAAATAGTCGGATGACCCAATTGAAGTTTTTGAAAGGATGAAGGACTAAATTATGTTTAAACTATAGTCGGATGACCCTATTGAAGTTTTCCCAAACATTGAAGGACCAAATTGTTTTTAAACTATAGTTGGTTGACTCAATTGTATTATCGTACAAGTACAAGGTCTAAATTGCTTTAAACTATAGTTGGATGAGCCAAACAAAGTTCCCTTAAGGTCCAAGGACTAAATTACATTTAAACAATAACTGGATTACCCAATTGAGTTTTCATAAAGTTGAAGGATGAAATTACTTTTAAACAATAGTAAGATGAACCAATTGAATATTCCTAAAAGCCGAAGGACTAAATTGCTTTTAAATAGTAGTCGGATGACCCAATTGAAGTTTCCAAAATGCTAAAGGACTAAATTGACTTTACATAATAGGTGGATGACAAAAATGAAGTTTTCTAATAGTTGAAGGACTTAATTGCTGCAGAAACATAGTTATATGACCTAATTAAAAATTTCTAAAAGCTGAAGGACAAAACTGACTTTCAAGAATAGTTGGCTGACGAAAACAATGTTTCCTAATAGTTAAAGTACTAAATTACTATTGAAAAGGAGTTAGATGACCAAATTGAAATTTTTGAAAAGTCGAAGGACTTAATTGTCCCCAACCAATAGACAGACAACCAAATTGATGTTTCATAAACGTTGAAGGACTTATATGAACAATAGTTAGATGACCCAATTGAAGTTTCCGAAATGTCGAAGGACTAAACATACTATAATTAATAGTTGGATGACCAAAATGACGTTTCCCAATAGCTTATTGACTAAATTGAATTCAATTGATAGTTCGAGGACCAAACTGAAGTTTCTCAATAGTTGAATGACTAAATTAAATTCAATTGATAGTTAGATGACCAAAATGAAGTTTCCCAATAGTTGAGTGACTAAATAGACTTCAATTTGTAGTAATATGACCAAAATGAAGTTTCACAATAGTTTAAGGACTAAATAGATTTGAATTGATAGTTAGATGAGCAAAATACAGTATCCCAATAGTTGAATGACTAAATTGTTATGGAAAAATAGTTGGTTGACCAGATTGATGTTACGTAAAAGTTGAAGGACTTAGTTGCTGCTGAACAAACATTGGATGACCCAATTGAAGTTTCCTAAAAGACCGAACTGAATTAAATTTAATTGATAGTTAGATGACCAAAATGAAGTTTCCATGTAGTTGAAGACTAAATTGCTGTTGAAAATACTTAGACGACCAAATTGATGTTTCCTTAAACTTGAAGGACTCAATTGTTCACAATCAATAGCCAGATGACAAAATTGATGTTTCGTAAAGGTTGAAGGACTTAGTTGTTGCTGAACAATAGTTGGATAACCAAAATGAAGTGTCCTAATAGTTAAAGGACTAAATTGCTATACAAAAGCAGTTGGATGACGAAATCGAAGTTTACTAAAGGTTGAAGGACTAATTTGATGCAGAATAATAGATTGATGACCCAATTGAAGATTTCTGAAAGCTGAAGGACTGAATTACTTTCGAACAGTAGTTGGATGACCTAATTGAAGTTTTGCAAAAGCAGAAGGAGAATATTGCTTTTAAACAATAGTTGGATGACCCAATTTAAGTTTCTTGAACACTGAAGGACTAATATGTTTAATTAAATAGTTGGATAACCCAATTGACGTTTATCTAAAGTTGAATGATTGAATTGGTTTTAAGCAATAGTTAAATAACCAAATTGAAGTTTTTTGAAACTTGAAGAACTGTATTGGTTTAAACTATAACCTAAACCCTAAATTTCAGTTGAGGGGAAGTCACGACGTGCTTGTGAAAATGAAAGATGTGGTCTATGCATCATTGGTTCAGAATAAAGCGAACCATCACTTTGTTTGACAGAGTCTCGAGTAACTGAAATTTTTGAATTTTGATTGAGTTATCAACATGGCTTTTACAACATGCATTATTATCATCTGCATTCTGCACGACTTTGATAATCTCAATGGAGATTTTATTTATAGAACGAAAAAAAAAAGGGTAAACTGCAAACAAACCATTGATTAATTACTGCTAGTTATATAAGTCACGTAATCCTGTATCATCTTGACAAGAAATTGTTGCTAGACATACTTCCAATTCTTATCTAGGACTTAACAAGATTAACCATAATTAAGAAAAAAAAATAAAATCACGCGACGAAATAATTAAATATTTCAAGTGTGTTTTTCAGTACAAAGTAACATTGCAACTTCTGACATACAATTTCCTTCGTTAATTACTATGTTAAATTGGCTAATCAATAAAAGGGCCTTATTTGAATAACAAGACTTTAATCATTCTTCTACTAGTTGACGCACATTTATTCAATCAAAGCAACTTGATTCTGGGTGCAGATAGCAGCTACCATACCTGCATACAAAAATGTTAGCAGATACAATATTTCTCATTTAAAGAACTCAGCATACATGAATCAAGAACCAGATTGTTCTTACTCTAAATTCTCATGGCGTCGAGGTATGATTTCCCATCAAGTTCCCTCGAAAATAATCCTTTCAAATAATCAACATAGCTGATTCTTTTGAACTTTGCTGGAGTTTCTGGAGTCACAAGGCTTGGTGCTGGACCTAAATCACCATCTATATTTGGGTTGAAAAATGTGGCAATGGAGAGCCTTTCTTTCTTTGAGTTGACAGTTGCTCGATGTTCAATGCTTCGGTAAATTCCATTCGTCACAATCTGTCAAAGCATATAATGATAAGATCCAACGGAAGCGATATAAAGACTCAACAGATCTCAATGAATACAACATAATTTATAGGCTATGGATACACAAACTGTTGAGAGAACAATTTATAAATGGAGTGACTTTAGGCCATTTGATCATGTACAAATACCTCCAAGATGTCTCCAATGTTGATAACAAAAGCATTAGAGAGTGGTGCAACAGGAATCCAAGCTCCATTTTTCTTAATCTGAAGACCTTCAATTTCATTGACTTGGAGGAGGATGGTGAGTCCAACTGCATCAGAGTGGGGGCAAAGGCCAGTAACGAGCTCCGGTTGGGGGCAGGGAGGATAGTAATTCATCCTCATTGCTTGCATCCCTTCTTCGAAAACCATGTTCATTTCCTCAGCTTTCATGTGTAAAGCTTTAGCCATTAGGTCTAGGATTTTCATGGCAAGGTTTTTCAATTCTACGGCATATTCGTCTATTGCATCCCTGCAAAAATCAAGAATAAAGGAGCCAACTAACAACATTTTTAGTACAGCTATCAGATGAGATTAGACAGTACAGTGTCTTCTTTAATACTGTCCAATCCACTACATACTAGCGATACATGTTTCTACCTGAACTTAGCAGGAAGCTTGGGAATTAAGTGAGGCTTTCTCAAGTGGACTGGTAAGGTGATTATATAGAATAAGTCTGCCCAATCAAGCTTTTGCTCTTCTGATACAACAAAGGCCTGTCCATAACCCTCTATGTCCCCTGATTCTTGACTAAACTTCTTCTTTTCCTCTATTGGGAGATTGAAGAATTCTTGAATTTCTAACTTCATTTCCTCCACCTTTGGAAAGCTAACCCCATGGTTGATCAACTGCAAGTAGCCAAGTATGATCATATAAAACAATATCCAACATATAATGTTGTTAGGATTTATGTTGTATTGGTAATTCTTTAGACAAAAGGATTATTATAAAAGAATTGTAAAAGTCAAGGAATCTTTTAGAGGGTTGAACAAATGAACTAGAAGTCTTTGGGTTCGAATATGGAACAAGGAGAAAGAGTCGCTGAATAACTAGTTTGTCACCTAACTGATGCTCTAGCGGAGAAAGGAGAATCATTGTTGCCTGCCTATCGCCCAACTATCGCTCGAGCGATTGTGTTTTCCGATAAATCTTAATTCGCGTTTTGCAAGAGTTCAGTCTATCATATACTATCCAAATACTTTTAGTATAAATACCAAAAGCTCAGTACGTTTTTGGGGTGTGGTTGATCATTATTTTTCATCCTCATAATATCAATACAAGATTCAAGAATACATCCAAACATTGAGATTAAACTTTGATTCTTAAGATCAATCAACCACAAGTTGGAAAAAACATCAAATTCATATAATCCAAAACACCTATTTTCTAGATATAATTAGGAATGTACTTTTTCGATAGCTTTTAGAGGTTGCTGAAAATTGAGGGAGGTTGGACCAGAAGTATTGGAAAGAGTACAAAAACAAAGTATTCTTGGTGATCCACGAGAAATAGGCAATTCCCAAAGATCGGAAACAGATGTGGGTGAAGCACGTCCAACGGGTTTTGGAGATTACAGGAGTTAGATTAGGTTTTCTAGCTGGATCATAATATAAGTTCTTATTACATATAGTCATGGAGTATTTTACTAAGTTAAGGGTTTTTTCCGTCACAAATCTTGTATTATTTACCTTGCTTTATTTATTATTGTGACAATTCAATATAAGATAACTTGGCTTGATTGACTACACATCTAGAACAACTAAAAAGTGAATTGTTACTTTTAATTAATAATTTTTAAATACGCGTTATTCACATATTCACCATCTCTAGCTGATTTTAGGTCGAACTCATAACATTCAAATACTAATAAAAGGACCTTTAACATGATATTAAGAATTACTGAATGACAATAGTGGTGTCAAACGTGTCAAGCCGCCGCGCCAAAGAATGGACAGGCAGGCCCGTTGCAGGGGCAAATAATGCTAAATGTTATAGTAGTTTCTGTGCATACCTGAAAGAAACCCCATTCTTGGCACGCAGTGTGCAGTTTTTGAAGCTCTGTATCCATTGAATCTTTCTCCATCAACTTTTGGATGTCAATCACAGGAATTTGATTTTCAGGTAAGGAGGAAATGAGATGATCTTGATTAGGACGCTGGTATCTTGGTGGAATAGCGGTTGATTTCTCCTTGGCCAGTTCCTGCACAATAGGCACCTGTAAAGAACTACCCAGCTTTTTAAACTTTGGCTCCATCTGCAGCAATTTTGCCAATTGCCTCTCTCCCTCTCCTATCTTTGATCTTCTCTCCAAATTATATTACATTTGTTCACTTAAAGAATATTCGGCATGTGGCAAGAATATCGTGCTAATTTGGTATTTTCAAAGGTCCCACGAAACGATCAAAGAGAGTAAATATGAAAAACTTTTACATGTAAGATTTATTTGTAGTTGGTCAACCCCGCACCGCACACCACTTGGCGTTACTACAAGATAATATAATTAAACAATCAAGATTAGGTTTCAATAGATTTTTTCTTGGTTTTTTATTGTCAGATATCTCATCAATATCTCATTGATAAGACATGTTTTTCTGATACAAAATAAAGAAAGGGAAATGGAGGCCACTACTTGTCTTCAACCTTAAATTACAAAATTACTATTCGTTATTTTATATTCTAAAATTATTGTTTACAACTTGCATCTCGTAGAAATGCTCCCAACTTTTTCAAAATTAAAATCCACTCCAAATGGCTGAAAATCCGCCCCCACAAATAAGAACAACCGCAAAATCGCCTTAGAAAAAATCTCTCCTGTTCCAACGATATATTTAGTGTCATTACAAGTAAAATCCAACGAAACGATTCTCCAACTTGATACAGTCCCCCACCAAGTTCTATATCATATACACAATAGTTGACTGTATTTTAGACTGTCAAATGATAAAATCTTTTGTGACATTATGTCAACTTTTTTTGTCAAACTCTTCTGGCAATATAGCATGATTCTTTTATTCAAAATCAAAGTCATGATTTGGTATGACTGCGTGAAAGTTGTGCTAATTGGTAATTTCAAAGGTGCCACCAATTGAAAATGAAATCATGTGTGGTGTGCGAGTGATTACATTAAATGAATCTAATTAATAAATCAAGCGTAGATTCTGATGGACTTTTTGAGGATTTTATTTTGATTTAGAAATTAGAATCGGTGTTGACGTCTTTCATTTCGTATGTATCAAAGAAATGATCTTATCGTGAGTAGACTGTTAGAATAATTCTATTATGTGGGCTTCCATTTGATTGCGAATTTTACGAGTTAGACGTATGATTGACCGTTGTACGCTTTACATGCTTTATTATTTAAACTGTGGTAATTTAAAGATGTGTGCTGCAATTAAGTAAACCCTAATTAGGGTTAGAGTCGGTAATTGGCCGATTTTATGATTTCCTATATAATTGCTAAGTCCCCTCTCCTCTCAATGTTGTTTTGGCTTGCCCCATTGACGATTGATTATTTATGAGGAGCAAGGAGATGAAAATTTAGTTGGTAATATTCATACATAACAATGTCTTCCGCATGCATGAATTTTGAATTATCAATTAACTATGTGATTCTTATTTTTAGCATGATTGTATTGAATAATTTCAACAATTGAAATCAGAGCAAGCATGCTAAGATTAGAATATTTTTAAACAAAAATTAAATTGATTTTAAATGTCCTATCTCCTCTCCCGCAAAAATATTCAATAGATTCATAGCACCTTTTTCTTTTAATAGATGCAGCAGAGGCTGCGACGTTGCTCTAGCAGTCCACATTTGCCGTGGGCTGCCTAGAGACAGGGGAGCCCGGTGGCGGTAATGTAAAAATAAAATTAAATAAAATTGAATTGAGGCCTAGGGTTTTAGTTTTGGTCGGTTTAATAAGTTTGGGGACGAGGGCTTCTTGTGCAATTTTTAATTTTTGGGGGCTTCTCCTACAATTTAAAGAAGGGGTTATTCTGTAAAAAAAGGGCTCCACTGTAATTATGTGTATTTCTGGGGACTTTACATGCAAATTCTGAATTTTTGGGGTTTTGCAAATGGTCATTTTGTTATTTAAGGATAAGGACCTATTCTGTAATTTCTAAATTTTGAAGCTCTTTTCATAATTTTAATTTTGGGATCAATTTTGCAATTTTGAAATATTAAATTTGAAGTTTTAAAAATGAGATTTTTAAATTTGATCTACTATGTTTCAATTTTGACCTAAAATTAAAATTTTACTTAAAATTGACGACTTCATATTTTTTTAAATAATTAAATGTCGTTATTATTTGTCCATTTAAATTTCGTTTCATGTATTGAAATTTAAGTTTCCAATTTTGTCTCATAATCGCGCATTAGTTTCGCTTTTCGTTAGTTAATGATTATGATTATGTTGCGTGATTAATATAATTAAATTTTTCGTGGACTTCAAGCCTATTTAAGTGCTCCTATTATGAGAACTGTTTTGAGATGTGAATGGTAGCTGTCAAAGTGGTACACTCATTTTTATTTATTTGGTTTTCTTCTTCAAAAAAAATAAATAAATTTGGCATCATAATTTTGAATTATTACATATAGTATCTTGCCCAAATGTGTTATTATAGGTGATATTTTTTGAAAATTGGCATAAACATAGTTAACGATTTTATTTTATCTAGAAATCTCCTTCAGCCTAAAGGTGTTGGTGTTTCGATAACTAATTTGTTTTGTTGACTAACTTGATTATGTGTTTTAAGAGTACCTTACATTGTGTTATATCGTTAGCCCAAAAGTAACTTTATAATGATGCATCTATGCTCTTACCGTAACAATGTTCATTTGATTTTGACTTTAATTACGAATTATCTAATTATTTGACCCATGTTAATTAGATGAATATGTTATCATCCATTGTCGGCATGCACTATGTTTGGATGATATTAAATATGTTATTTTAAATGCCTCATCTCTTTCGAGTCAATTGTCCGCTATTGAAATCTTGATTAGGAATAATTATGTGAGTTGTAAACGAGACGTAGAAATAGCACTTGGTTTTGGGGTTGGATTTTGCAATGGAGAAGCATATTTCAAAAGCCACAGATAAAAACGATCATGAATATGTAGTTGAGTATGAAAAGTAGGCAATGAATAATAGACTTTGTTTCAAAATTATTAAGCACTTCATATTCGATTTCATTATGGGAGCTATTTCAGATAATGAAAATGTTAAATATTTTGTAGATACCATAGGATTAAGATTTGTTGAGTTTGATAAAATTGAAATTGGAGATCTGATGGACAAACTGATGAATATGAGATATGATGATATAAGTGGAGTTAGGGAGCACGTTATGAAAATGATTAATATATCTTCTAAATTAATGGTTCTTAAGATTTTCATTGCCGAGCCTTTTCTGGTCTATCATGTTCTGAATAGCCTTTCGAGCCAGTTTAATCAGCTGAAGGTTGCTTATAATGCTCAAAGAGATAAATGAGATTTGAATGACCTTATTGATGTATGTGTCTAAGAGGAGTATTGTAATGCCCAGACCAGGAAAACTTAAAAGATTTGATAGGTACGACTCATAACAACAAGGTACACCTTCCTTTTCGGAAGTCCATCGTTAGAAACTCTACAATTAAGCGTGCTTGGTTTGGAGCAATTTTATGATGGGTGACCCCCTGTGAAGTTTTCTTGGGAAGTGTGTGACTGATGATAAAACATCATGAAAAGACCCAGTTGGTATAGTGAGGACAGTATGTCATTGATCTAACGGCTAGTACAGCCCGCTAAGTGGGACTGAGGTCGTTACAAGTAGAGATTGAGGCCTGAAAATGTCAAAACTGTGAAATTAGCTTTTCAGCCACCACAGAACAATGGGTCTTTTCATAACCACAAGTATAAGTTCGACATGGGCGACAAGTCACACCGCAATCAGCAGAACAAAAATTTTGGAGGTCAGACTTTTGGCGATCCTAAAGGAGCGATAAAGAAAAGAGATCAATGCAAGTTCTGTAAGAAGAAGGGTCATTGGCAGAAAGATTGTTTTAAGTTTAAAACTTGGTTGGAGAAGAAGAAGAGTTCCGTAGGGGTT